ACTACAAAGCAGTATGTTACGTCCGCGCAATCATTATTTAGGCCCATTTTTAATTAATTCACGATTATGTTTTTCACTGCGTACAAACTTAAATCGACCTATAATATTCATAATAAAATAGTCGAAATTGAGATTCCAAAACAAAAATGAGGCGTCAGAAAAGAAGGATCAAGGGCCAAGGCTCAAAATAAGGGTCACCGATGTTATATAGAGCTATATGGAAACCGTCAAGGGATATTATGGCGTCATATGTAAGCCACACTGGGTTTTATATGTGTCGACCCTAGTCATATATAGAAATGTCCCTAATGTGGGAGGGCCGTTTTTCCATAACGTTAACTTGTCCGTGGTATTGTTCGCTATTGTTCCTTCCCATTCATTAAAGGCTCCAGCCATAAATATGCGTTCCAATATTGATTACAAAAATTTCCTATACATATAATTTTGGTTAGACTTTTTACATTGAAGCTATTGAAAACTTTCTTAGCTTCGTATCAGCCCGATTATATGAGTGAAGGGGAGGTGAGACTGTTCTGATTTGAAACCAGAATTTTGTGGACATCGAAGAAAGGAGGAGAAAAATAGTACTCGCTGATTGTAGATTCAGAGATACATTTGAAATACTTCTTTCGAAAGAATAACGAGTATGAAAAACTATTTTCTCTTTCTGATTAATAGGCTTAAATACTATTACGATTGCATAAATCCGTTTTTAGACAAACGGCATTTATTATACATGTTATTGACCGTTTTCAAATTCTTGATAGCAAATAATCTATGCAATATATAAAAATCCTACCTTCTTCTTTACATAATATATTCACACCAAACCATCCTTGCACCTTTCACGACTTCAGACAGCGATCTCTGTGGAGGCTCATTCATTTCATTGGAATGGTGTATTAGTTTTAATATAGAAAACTATGCTGGTAAGTAGACGTTTTGGATGATAATTTTTCAATTTCATCTATAAAAAAGCGTTTTTTATAAGTGTTCATTAGAGTATTAAATAGCTTATAACCCTTCACGGAATAAAGTGAATAATAGAGATTACTATAATATATAGATTTCATCTTAAAAATCTGGTAAATGATTTTTCCGCTTGCCCCTCAATGTAATCTTTACCATGTAGAGTAGTCGAAATTACGATAATGTGACTATAGTTAAGATTACTATTCGCTACAGCAATCAGAAACAATTCTTAAGGAACCCTTTATGCCATTGTGGACATCGTAAATGCTATACTATCGATACATGGATCGGCCGGTCCATAGTCAATATCGAAGGAAACATATGGTAACTGTTTTCTCGGTTTAATGAATTACTAAATCTGTTAGATATCGATCTTAGTGAAATAATTATACTATACTTATATAATGTACTTAGTATATTATACTTGAATTAATGCCACACTGTAATCTAGGAATAATTACTAGTTATCTCTGTAATATTCTATTGTTTTTCGCATTTTTAAAACTATTTTTTAAAGTTTACTATATCATATAGGCATTAATACTATATTGCAGAATAATTTTCCTCATAGACCTAAGATAAACTTTACCAGCCAGCTATGGGTTACTTTGCTATATCGCACAGTAAGCGAAATTGTGTTTTGCTTCCGAAAGAAAGCATTGCAATCGTTCGATTTTTCGATTCTCTAATTTTGCCTGGAAATGATGTAGAATGATCTGAAACGTAAAAATACCACGTTTGTAGACCGTGTGTGTATGTGATTATGGTCAGCTGAGGGTCAATTTTTACAAAAGAAGGAGTATAATTGGGTAAATTAATTTCCAAAAATCTGAAATTTGGTCAGTTCATAGGTTCTAATATGGACTTCATCTGTGCTGAATTTCAGCCCGATCGGTTGAGCAGTTTTTGAAATATCTATGATTGTTTCTGACAAGTTTTTTGGAAATATCTCAGAAACTATGCAACCGTTTACATTTTTCATTCTTTTGAAATGTTCGTCTCAATGTGCTCTATATGGATCGGTCAGAATATATGTATATGTTCCTACAAAGTTTTCGAGATATTTCAATTTTCATTTTTTTCAAAAAAATGCGAACTACACCCTCTCTGATTTTTAAAAATTAATCTATTAACTTGAAATTTGGCAGAGAGAATCCTCTTATGACGGCGATGTTTGGTATTGCAGATGGGCTAAATCGGATGATCCGTTCAGAAGATATTCAACTTTGTATCTGAAACGATTTTCTCAAATATCTTAAAAACGACACAACTGATTTTATCTTTCTTTTTTGCAAAATATTCGGTACGTTATGCCCTAATTATATAAACCAAAGAGTTTTACGCGTTCGAAAAAAAATCTGAAGATATGTCAATTTTCATGTTTAAAAAAAAAATGCGACGTACATCCTCTCTGATTTTTAAAAATCAATCTATCAACTTGCAATTTGGCTCAAAGTTTTCTGTTATGACCATAATGTTTCATATTGAACATAGGCTTAATTCCAAAAATATGGAAATTTGAGAGATTACAGGTACTCCATTCGGAAGCAAACCATCAATGAAATTGATGGCAAAATAAAATTTAAAAAATAAATAAATAACATGTGAAGTACCAATCACATGTCTTCTACGGCTAGGAACGGCAAACTGCTTGTTTTAGTATATTTATCGACTCCATTACCATTGAGAATCTTACCATGCTTTATAGCAACCATTACTAAATCGTACAGTACTCATAATTATAACATAGTAATGCTTACTAAATTATAATCACTCTTACTAGGCATGAATTTCGATATATAGTGCTCTCTAGCATCACTTTTTTCTCTGTGCAATATTTTTTTTAGCAGTATGTTTAGAATTTTTCGATCAGAGAAGAATTTATCTTCTATTTTCTTGATTTTGTCAAAGTTAACTGATGAAAAGTTCGTTTCAATACTTTTGTCGGCATCGACTATCGCTAAACGCTCAAACGTTCTGTATCATCCTCCAGAGGTATTTAAGTTGCTTCGCTGAATAACTGAGAAGTTTATGAAAGGTATATCTAGTGATACTACATACTTAGGAATTCTAATCAACACAAAAAGTTACCACTTTCATTAGTTCCTGCGGAGTTTCAAAGAAATATTTTGTGAATTTTACAAAATTCGGAAATTCGAAAATTCGGAGTGTAATTGGCCAAACGTATGTCTTTTCATGTATTGTGTTTCTTATGTAGAAAAAACGAATATCGAAGATTTCATATGAATATTATATTATGAAGATTATATTTAACGTCAGCCGAATTTGTGAAATTAGAGGAGATATTTGTTGTTTGTCTACGAGTTTTGGCCGAATTTGCGTAAAAATCGTATTGAAATAAATGATAATTCTGATAATAATATGTAAAAATGGGATTTTTTCCAAAAGTTTCTTATTTCCTTGGAATTGCTATAGACATAAAATGTAAAGATTTAATCCTCACCATACAAACGTGATATTTCCGCGTAATTCGGCGGCACAGTGAGAAAAAAGGACGGGGCATACATGAATGTTATGTAATGATTTTATCCTCAAGTTCGCCGGACATTTCGGCAAGCTCATGCACGTCAAAATTCTGGTTTGTTCAATTCTTCACTGAACGACAATTTGCTCGCCACTTACCAAATTTTCATGTAATTTTCAGTGAAGTTTTTTCAATACATGTCCGTCTACTATATAGCCAGTCATGAATTGTTTCTGCAAATAAGAAAGACATAAAAGAAATTCTCTATAGAAGTATGCAACGGATTACATGTCATAAATTCCAATGATTTGCTTTTAGAAAGAATATAAGGTACTCCGAATATGAGCATAATCTTAGCGAATCTCTGAGATAGAGAATGAAATAAAAAATTTTCGCACTTTATGGATATTTTAATGGTAAACATGATGCTTCCGAAGGAGAATCGATTCTCATTGATTCCAGTCCTGAGAAAATTGTGGTTCCGAATACTAGAATTTCATATTACGCCGTCTAAACCGACATATATCACTTTACAGGAAGTTCCTCGTATTTCAACATTGCAGATAACAGACAGAGGGAAATATTCAATAAAAATTAAATGTGGTTATAGGAGATTTTACGGAACTATCACGTAATTTATATCTAGAGTCACGAAATTTTTTTGCGGCGTTCCGTAATCTTTATCTTAAAACAAACATACATGTGTAAAAGCGAAAATGTTCATGAGAGTTCCATTAGAGAACATCCTCCAAATTTTATTATTGCACCTAGAACTTTTCGGAGAAATTTAATTGGCATTGCTGACTGTAATTCAGACAATACAGATTGCAAATAGGCAAATGCTATAATGGAATTTCCAAAAAATTTGAACTGTGTAGCGTTGGTAATTTTCAATACAAGCATTATCATTCGGTCGTACACTGTCGACATTTTTGTAATCAAATTGTCCAGTAAATTTATTGTTACTTTTTTCACTTTTATTCTTGCGTCGCAAATTCATCAATTCTTGATGCTTTAATATCTACAGATTGACCATTTTGATCCATTATTCGTATTATTTTGCAATTAAAATTCTCTAACATTCACGATTCAATAGATTCAGGAAAATTCAAGTAAGCGCTTGATTTCGGCACCAACACCTATTTTAATAGTGGAAAGAAGTTTAAACAGCTATGTTACGATGAAAACTAATAAGATTGAAGGAAAAATATATCACAACATCGAGACAATATGTGATAACCTAATCCAACTTCAGTCCGTTAAATATCATCCCCCAGCTTACTGATATCGATTTCCAGAACTGTCTGGTTAATGTGAGCAGTCGCAAGATCCGCCTTCCTTATTTTCCTCGGAAGGTGGAGCTCAAATCCACCAATAATGGCTCTCTGTTGCTCAGGGCTGGAAGAACAGAAGACACGCCCCTAACCATTTTGGTAAAAAGTAATGGAGGGGTGAGAAGAAATTTTCAGGTCACTACTCAGTATGAAGTGAGCGCACATCACATATGTTTCATCTTATACAAATATTATCATTTTAAGCATTATGATTATTACATTTTAGTTCTTATGTCCTCATTACCGTGATAGATTCAGGTGTTTTTTTACCGATTTTTAACGTGAAATTAAGTACTATCGACGTCTCTACGAATTCCTATAGTGGAAAGTGCGTCCTATTTCGTTCATTATCACCTATGCACAATTTTATTGTTTCTCAATATTGTGGAATGAACAGTTTATTAACTGTAGGATTTTTTTCGAGAATCTTTATTGTATTTTGGCTATTGTGACGATGGTATAACATGTTGGAGTTGCCACCGACGATTCTTCGGACAGAAAATTATTCACGGAAATCGGAGCATACACTTTCAGCGATGCCGTTTCGACAGTCTAGTAATTCAAATCTAGGTAAACCATCACTATTCCTTCTTTTTATGCATACTATTCAGATAATTTGCTTATACATACTGCTAACACTTGTGTTTCGTCGCACTGTGAAAATAAAATTATATTTGTCAAAAATTTATTCACTTGAGAGAAATATTGGTGTTGGGAATGCCATATTTCTTTAGCCGAGTCATCTCGAGACGATCCTGATTAGATTATTATCTTGATCATGATGAATATGCTCTGAAAATTATTAATTTGAAGATTTTCATTTGAAAAAATGACAATTTTTTTTTAGTTTACTAATTTTGGAGATAATTGTTAATTGATAATAAATAATAAAATTAGTAAATGATTAATACTTCTCATAAGTAAACGAATATCTGCCAGAAATATATTTTTTTCTTGCTGCGATTGTTGTTTGATTTAAAAGAATATATTATCTTATACTTATTCTCATTGAACAGCTCAGTGCGGTTTTTCGGAGTAATTCTTATTTCATTTTAAATCGGTATACGGAACATGTCATCAAATTTTAATTCAACTATGGATCAAAGTGGAGTATTGTTTCTATACGTACCAATAATAATTATAGACAAATAATCGCAACATTACTACTTTTGGTGTTTTGCATGGAATCTGCAGGATTGTTGATTTGGACGATATTTTACGGAAATCGAGGTTTATTTTAAACTCATATTACCGTTATTCGTGGTGGAGACAAGTCCCTATAGTGAAATTTATATATATTTTACCTTTATATTAGCAGAATATGAAAGAGTTTAGTATCAATATCATTAAATATTTCTGGCACGTCACTTCAAAACGTTTACTACTGATTGATTAATGAACTGGTAATCCTGTATAATTAAAGCAAAATGGTCTACTATGTACATATGTATTTGAGAGAGATGTAAACTATCTTCAACTGCTTAAATTCCAAAATGTCTGACCTTTCCGCAACTCGAGTAAATTCACACTTATCACTATCGCTATACATTGTATCATGAATGTGTTATATATTGATATACTGTAACTGCTCAACATCGCAATAATGTAAATAATAAATACTTTGATAATCCTTTTATGGAATTTTAATCAGTGAAATTGCAACAATCACATACATGAATATTTCAAAGCATATTATCTTTCTTAAACTACACGAAGAGAAATATTTAGTAACAATTACGAAACTTTCAGTTCGCTTACCAATTACATGACACGTCCGTATAATTTCCTACAACCAAATTTCGGTCCGGAATTACAGGAAAGACACGTCATTTTTATTGTATATTCCTCTCCGCGTAGAAGCACTGAGATGCCACGGATAATTGAACGCTTGAAGGACAATTATTCATATAAAAAAAATATTTTCCAGAAATTAGAATTTTTGTTTCTTCGTGCATCGACTAGACTAGTAAATCGTCAAGAAATCGCTTCCAACGGCGAAGTAGAAAAAAATATAACGTGCACATGGAGACAAAAATTGCATACAAATTGCGTGTCTGTTCCATAATCTACCAGTCAAAACAGTATTCAGTAAAAATTACAGGGCAGTCATGCACCTTTTCACTGAATGTTCAGGAAAAAGTACGGAAAGTTCAGTGAAAAAGTGCGTAACTGTTCCGTAATATTTACTGAATACTGTTTTGGCTCGCAGAGTACTAATTTTTATTCAATTCTTCATCGCATGTGGTGCTAATTTATTCAGAATGTAGCATAATTTTATAAAACATCTCACCGAAACTTTACTAACGTAATTATTGAATATTACTCAGCAGTATTTTAAAGATATAATAATCGCATTAATTATTCTTTGTTCAGGAGTGAACACATCGGAATCATTTAAATGTAAATAAGTTCATAATTAATTGAACTGGAACAGTTAAAAATTGGTTGACCAGAAAAATTTAAATGAAGGAAAATAAAATTTGAAGAAGTAATAATTCTGAAGAGTCCGTTTCCTCACTACAAAGTGTAATTAATTTGCCAATTACTTACTTGGCGTGATTGCAACTGTTATAATTACAATAAGGAGGCAAGATTCCTCCTTTGATTATCCACAATTTATTTGCAATCCTTAACTTTTATTTGTATTCTTATAAAGACTAAGACGATTATGTCGTGTGAGAAAGTATACTTTGAGAAAAAAATTGCTTGTGCTACAAATACTTTAATTGGCACAAGGAAATGTGTATGAATATTTGCATTTAAAATCTGTGGATTTTCTTGTAGTTTGTAAATCTAATTGGCAAAAGTAGTTAGTTTTTTCAGTCTACACTTCGGAGTACATGTATACATGGTACCTGTAACTTCCATAAACTGGTATTTTCTGAAAACATGACCGTCTAATTGCGAAAGGGTGGACATTCAAACTATGTACTTTTAACGACCAATCTCTCTTATATATATGGATACTAGCGCCGCCGCGGCCGTAAGCGGCCGCGACGTTCATGACATTCTCATCACATGTCAGATCAGGGGTCCCCTTCGGTTATCGAATGGAATGAAAAATTATCGATTATCCCCATGAGATCCGCCATGTTCGATTAGTGGCCCATCTCTTTTATATATAGGACCATAGCAGACTATCTCCTTTTCAAGTTTGGAGACCTGCGGTTTACTGCGCAGTCCAGGCGAGACGCCAAGTGTGCCAATCGATTTTTTAGTGTGGTTACTAGGGAATTTAGGGCTAAGATAGTTTCTTTCACTAAAGTCGTTACTAATTGTGTAATTTTTGAGCAATGGACATAACTCATTTTTGGTCCCAGATGTTATATTCTATGTCTAATAAAAGCATGTGGAAAAAAGGCAATTAGAAGTAAGGTTACCTTATCAAGAACAAGGTTATCAAGAACAAAATTAGGGACCAAAATTAGGAGCACAACTTTTTATTAGGCTTTATAGTCTTAAGACTATGTCACTTCTAATTATTCATCATGCCTTCCAATAATGTATAATTTTTCGATAATGGGTCATGGATGTGTGTATATGAAGCGTCACTCTATTTATCACAAAAACATATAGTATATTTTTCTGGAACATCGAAGCGAAAAAATGATAATATATAAATGGCTTCCACAACTTAGGAAGAGCGAAAAATTATAAAAATTGTCCGAATAAAAATGACTTTAGATAACTCTGAAGACCCAGATCAAGATTGAATCCGGTAGCACTGAGGTTTGCCTGAATCCTGATATGAATCCTCAATGAAAACAGATTCTTATCAGATCATCATTGCCTTAGACCAGGCATGGGCAAAGTCGGATCCTCGGGAGCTGAGGCCATAAAACCCTATTAGACCCATTATTGGAAATACAATACCCCAATTGCGTGGAGCCCAGCGTAGTCAGGGTGGGAGTTGCAGCGTGTACGAAGTGGGGCGCAGTTAGACAGAGAGAGCACCGCGCGCTTTCCTTTCAAATTTAAAAAACCTTACCGCCTAAAAATTGAAACAAATTTTCATCAATTCAACGGGGTAAATCCTCAGTTGTATCGGGGGTAATGGTTCAAACATCATGGTGCCAGAAATTGATTATTTCTTGGTTACCTTAATATTGAATAATTATTTTAGTAAAAATTGGAAAAAAATGATATGTCAGTTCTTTACAATTCAATCAAAATCCATTCTATTGAAACTGTATTAGATTTCTATGAAACCTATACAAGTTTGTGATTGTAAAAAACTGTTGAAAAGATTTTTTAATTTTTGTTAATACAAGATTTCTTGCAATATGAATATTGAAAGAATAAATAGATTCATACCAAAAATGGAGTTAAAAGTTTTTTTTATAGAAATGTCCAGCAGAAAGGTCTGGGTTTGAAACGAATGGAATTTTTCCTTACATTTTAATGTATTTTTCTTATTTTTTGCCGATATATGAGCCAAAGAAGACAACTCTAAATGATTTTACCATGAAAGTTCTGCAAGGAAATTTCTCTCAAATAATTTGTATGAACAGATTCTTTTAACTCCATTTTTGGTATGAATCTATTTATTCTTTCAATATTCATATTGGAACAAATCTTGTATTAACCAAATTTTGTATTAACCAAAATTAAAAAATCTTTTCAACAGCTTTTTTCAACTAATTTGCTGCTGAAATATTCAATTCAGAGTAATTTATTCAACGGAATTTTATGCGGAAAATGATAGAGGGAAAATTGATTAATTGATATTTTTTAACAATGCAAAATGCAGCAAGAAAAATATTCGTATTTTTCGTTCAAAAATTCAGATTTGTTGTTGACTGACGTAACGATTCCCCCACTCTGACCCAAGCATCGTGGTCTCGCCCTTCCAACTACCTGCATGGTACAATAGGACCCCTTATTTTATAGTCATTGGCCTAATTGAGGTTGGGAGCTAGGTGAGCCGATTGAGCGCACTTTGACCATGCCTGCCTTAGACTGATTAAGTTTTCCTAATGAGAGATTGATCAAATTTTCAAATTTCAGGAATACTGAACTCTAGATTCGTCACCATTCCAGTGAACGCTGCAGAGCGTTATTTTAATTGAATTACCATTCATTGGTTCATCGAAAATAGTATATTTTCGAGCTGTGGAGATGGATTTTTTTTACTGGCGGGGGGTTGGCGTTCGAGCTGAAGGCGAGAACTGGCCAAACACACAAGTAGAAAAAACCCCATCCCAAAAATCTGGACAATGTTTCCCGTAGTGATTCTCAAGTTTTAGAGCCTGGGAAGCAGGCAGTACGAGAAATGAACATTGACGTTGTGCAATGAACGGAGCTAATAAATTATAGTATCAGGAAAAAATTCTTCTTGAAATTCTCGAAAAAAGGAATTATTTCTAACAGAAGAATCATGTTTTCCCATAATAAAATACAGTGGCTGTTGACGTGACGTGACGTGACGTTGCGGGAAGTTCACTAAACGCATTTGCGCAGTATCCTATGTAAAAGGGAAATGGCCATTTATATTGAATGGAATCGAAGCTCTCGAACGTTAAGGCCTACAATCTGTTACCCCCATTCTTCACTGTTCATTCATTGCTCAC